GGTAAAACCACACTATCACAGAATACCAACGTAAAATAGTAGCTTAATGCTGTTGTGTCTCGTATGGTGAGTGTAGGGAACCGCAGACCCTTTTAACTGGAAATGAGGCATTCCATCATAGTCCGCAGGACTCAGGAGTGACAACGCATCTGCATTTTAATTCTTAATCAAGTATTAATGTAGAAGTCTGTGGACCACAGCATCCACTTACCATCAGATGGACTGTGTGCTCGTTGGTCGTCCTTATACAATAAAAAAATATATCACTCCATGGGTGTCGTGTGGGACGACAGAGGGTATCTGAAAAAGGAGATCGGCTGCAGCATTTTCCCGCTAAAAATTAAAAAAAACAAAACTGCAGATGTTGATCCTCCTGCCAACCCCCACCCCACGGTTCGATAAGAAATGGCCGCAATATCTTTTGGCACAAATATAATTATTTCTCAAAATCATTCTTAACAATGTACCCAATTACGATACAGGTGAATAAAGGTGTTATTCTAATCTAATATGTAACATTAAAAATAACTGGTAATCTATTTTTATAATAGTTTTTTAAGTAATATTAGAAAACTAGGAACGTAGTGTAAGTATATGTATAAACTTTTCTCACTAGGATATGTTAATGCAAAGTTAATAGTATTACAGCTATGATTTACGAATTTTCCGGTCACACTTTACACAATTTACATAAATAAAATTTAAAATAAAATCAGTCTTTAAAAAATAACAATATTTAAATAATTTCCACAATATTTTAATCTTATAATTTTTTAATATGACTTAATTTAATAGTAGTTTATTGGCTACGTAAGATACCCACTAGATACCCCATATCCCTCTTGGGTGTCATAACAGGTGACAGGGGGAAACAAACCTGATGGTGGCCAGCAACGTCTTCCTAATAACAACCAAGCGTTGCCAAGCGTGGCAACTATGGCATATTTCAGCCGTGGACTTTAATAGACTGTAACGGATGCTAAATGCAATTACTTTTTTCGTGCGGGTCTCGAACCCGGGCTCCGAGCTCCGTAGGTCGTTGCTAAACTACTGCGCCACGTAATTTCAATAAGAGTTTAATTATTTAATCCTTTTTTGTTTAATTAAACCTTTATCATCCATTACTTTTAATGATATCTTCTAAGCTTGTTTTAAAGCTAGACACTTGTAATTTACATGACAGTTTGGGATATTTAGTTGTTATCAAGAAGATGCTGCTCTGCTACACATTTCCTGTTTTAGTGCCTTTTATTGCACCATACGACATCCACGGGATGATATAATAGGGCCGTGGAATCTTTTACACCAAAGCTACAGGGCAATAAATAAATTGTTATGGGATCGACTTTACGTGGTAAAGCCACGCTGCAGCTATATTATAGTTGTAGCTTAATGTTGCTACGTTTTGTATGGTTAGTGTAGAGAGTCGGAGACCCTTTTTACTGGAAACGAGGCATTCCATCTTGGTCCTCAGGGGTGACAACGCATCTGTATTTTTATTCTTAATGAAGGATAAATTTAAACGTCTATGGGACACAGCATCCACTTACCATCGGGTGAACTGCATGCTCGTTGGTCACCCTTAAAAAAATTACAATTGTCAAGTCTAATATCAAGGCCACGGTAGCTAGCAGTGATCGTAAATGGATACAATCTTAATATATATAAATTACGTGGCACGTTGTTTGTCCGCGATGGACTCTTAAACTACTTAACCGATTTTAATCGAATTTGCACACTATGATATGCAGTTTGGTCCAACTTGAGAGATAGGATAGTTTTTTGCCGATAAGTGACCAACATTTTTTTTACAAATTTAGGGATTTTTAATAGGACGTTAACAAAGGGTTGTCGAAAAGAGCAGAACAACGTCTGCTTGGCATGCTAGATATATAAATTATGTGTCACGTTGTTTGTCCGCAATGGACTCCTAAACTACTTAATCGATTTAATCAAATTTACACACCGTGTGCAGTTTGGACCAACTTAAGAGATAGGATAGTTTTTTTTGCTCACAATTTTTTTAACGAATTTAAGTACTTTTAATAGGACATGACAAAGGTTCATCGAAAAGGGCAGAAAATGTCTGCCTGGCAAGCTAGTATATTTTGAAATGCAAGGTATGGGCAATGTTTTCTGGTAAATTTTAAGATGTTATAGTAACCTCTCTTTTTTCCTCTATATTATCTACCCGTAATTAGAGAACAACATTTGGTACACCCGATGTAAAGCGAATGCAATAACATTGGATTTGAAGGTAAGCTAGACGGGACCACACGGCCCAGCAACAACAAACCTCTGGATCACGCCACGGCAAAAGAGCAAGTTCATATCTTCGTATACGCTTTTGTTAACTTGACCTGTATGTATTGTGTAAACAGAAATTTTGAAAATTATTCTCACTAGGAGAAGGAGATAGGGAGAAGGAGGAGCGTTTTAACGGATTTCAAATAAACGTGAAGGTAATGTATTCGATGCGTATGTTTTTTATGTATGTAAAACGATTTTTCGGAAACGGCTGAATCGATTTAAATATTTCTTTTTTATTAAATACTTATGAGATGGTCCCATGTAAATTTATGAACAATGAAGATTTTAATTCGCCACTCAAAATGGAATAATAATTAAGACATATTATATCAAAGAATAACGAATGGAGCCCCGGTTTTAGCTATTAATAGGACTTTTTTTTTAAATTTTGTAATTTGTTCTACTTTTATTACAAGCTTTATTATTACCAGGTACTACTATTTAGCCTTTATACGTGGTAGAGCCATGCTACAGTTATATTAGTATTATGGTTGTAGCACGAATGTGTCGGCTCGACCGAGGAAGGACCACGCTCTCAAAGAATACCAGCGTAAAATAGTCGCTTAATGCTGCTGTGTTTCGTATAGTGAGTGTAGAGAACCGGAGACCCTTTTTACTGATAACGAGCCATTCCATCTTAGTCCTCACGGGTGACAACGCATCTGCATTTTGATCTGTAATCGAGGATAGATGTAGATGTCTATGGGCCACAGCAACCACTAACCATCAGGTAGACTGTGTGCTCGTTTGTCACCTTAACCTATAAAAAAATTTAGAGCACAGAACTCGTAACTATAATGTAATATTAATTAATATTCACTCTGATATTAATAGCGACCTTAGTTGGTTTGTCGTATATTTCCCATGGTAGGTAAACAAATTTCGTACTTTTAGGAAATAACTATCTTAATTTAATAATAAACTTAAGCATAAAATTAACTCTTTTGTATAAATCATTTCATAACCACAAACTTCGCCATATTTACCAATAAGGAGTAAATACAAAAAAAAATATCGCTAGCCGATAGGTAGCCGACGCAATTCGTGTATCGATTTTGAGATCCCCTTTCTACCATTATTATTTTTTTACATAACAAAGAAAATATAAAGGAGGAGTTGGTAAGGGCAACGCGCCCCTCGCGACACTACATCTGTGTGAGTGTGGGCGAGATTGCGAATAGTGCTTCGCTTGTTTGTGTGCGTGCAACTTTGAGACGATCGACGGAGTCATGCAAAATAAGGGGAGTGATTTGTAGAACGCTTGTACTGACTTGATACATGCAAGTAAACATTCACTCACGTCATATTTATTATAAATGTGAAGTCATCGTAATAAGTATGGAGAAGTAAGGAGTACCAACTCCCATAGTAGAACAGTTGAAAAAGTGGTCATCTGTTAGCAGTAAATAACAGTTCAAAAACTCTCCACTACAGCGCTGGAGTAGCTTCTGGGATGAAATGAATTTAGCAGTTGTCGACGGTTTGAAGTGTACTGCTAAACTGTTCAGTAGCTCTAAATTCTAAAATAATTTCATTTAGTAAACATAACCTTGAAAAAGTCATCTATCCCACTAATATTTTTCGGCACGTTCTTTAAAATTTTGCCCGTAGCTATAGTGGCGAAATCCTTATTTAACTGTTTTCTATGGACACTTTTTAAAACACAGTCTGTACTCCTTACTTCTACACTCCATAGTAATAAATTTTAGCCGTATGGTACTCATTAGAATGACATCACACAATTAAATTATATTTAACCATTTTTAATTTCTTTCAAAGAACGCCGTGATGTTCACACGACGACGATATTGGACATGTTCAAAGATTGCAGACTTCTGTTCACACGACAACGATATTGAACATGTTCCAGATCGTCCCCACCAATACATCTGATTTGATAAACCACAAATCCTCGCAAAAGAACACCGATTCCTACCAAGGATGATACGCGAGGCTATTGAAATTAAAAATCCACAACGCCTTCTCTCTTCTCACCTTTAGTCTTGTTGCTGGTTGGTTTTTTTTTAGAAGGTGTCATTTTTTTTTCTTCTCTCTCTCCCTCTCTCTCACTCTCTCTCTCTCTCTCTCTCTCTCTCTTTCTCTCTTACCACTACGCGATTATATGAGGTAGTGGATTGTTTTACGCTACCGTAACTCGGCACGAACCACCTTTAATCATCTGTATATCTTTTCAGCGTATGTACCTGTATTTTTCTTTGAATATCTCGCATTTAGAAACCAATGGAGTTCAAAAATATAAATAATGATAAACCGTTATTACAGTTCTTGAAAATGACCGTAAATAACGCTTCTACATTTATTTAAAATTATCCCAAATTGAATGTGATTTATGGGAAACAATGTTTTGCCTATCGATCGACCTTTACGAATGTTTGTGTGCGCAGTAAAATCAGTTAAAATAACGCAATTTGAATTTAAAAGATAAAAGGACAGAATATTTGAGATTTTTTAAAATAATTTTCGCGAGCGAGAGCGAGACGGCATGTACTAGCAACAGCGCGCGCGAGTATCGAAATCGGGGGTGTGGGCGTGCGGGCGGGAGGAAAGCAGACTGCTAGTCGCTAGTCGGTCAGTCGCAGCGCAAATCGCGGAGCAACAGTTCATTTGTTTTGTGATTTGTCGAGTTTTTGTTCGTTTAATTAAATTATATTTTTGTACCTAAGCGTGGTATGGATCCTAAAAAGCGAAAAGTGGACAGTAAAAATAGGAGGTTTCTAGAAGAATGGACTGAACAATATTGTTTTACGCTGCTGGATAGGCCTCAAACAGTTCCAGTGTGCATTATATGCAATAAAACTGTTGCTATTGTTAAAAGTGGAAATTTGAAGCGACACTATGAAACGACTCATCAGCAATTCCACAAAAACTTTCCTCTTGGCAGTGAGGCTCGTAAAGAAAAACTTCAGGCACATCTCCGTTCTTACAGTAAAAGCACAAAATTACTAGTTCGCGTGCATGAGCGACCAAGATTCACAGAAGCAGCGTTACGTGTGTGCTGGACGCTTAATAAACACCAGAAACCATTTTCGGATTCTGAGATAGTGAAGGAATGTATGTTGGCAGCAGTCATGGCACTTTTTGAAGAAAAAAAAGATATTGTCGCTGGAATTCAAAATATTCCATTATCAGCAGGAAGCAATACGCGAAGAACTGAAATTTTAGCTGCTGATATTAAAATCACCCTTTTCGAACTTCTGCAAAAGGCACCTTGCTACGCTATAGCACTTAATGTGTCATGTGACATTGTTGATGATGAGCAAATGTCATTTTTGTCAGATTTCTTGACATTGAGTCTAAAACTTTTAGGGAAGAGTTGCTAACATTATTGCTCTAAAGGTAACACTCGAGGAGAAGATTTATTAAAGGTAATTGATGAATTTATTACTAAATCTAACACCAGTTACGATAAAATTGTGTCGCTTTCAACTGACGGGGCCCCAGCAATGATTGGCAAAGAAAAAGGTGTAGTAAAGAGAATTAGGGATAAAAATCCAGGCCTAATATCGTATCAGTGCATAATTCACCAGGCAGCCCTTTGTGGAAAACTTAGCGCTACACTGAAAGAATTGATGGACAGCTTAGTGAAGTTAGTAAATTTTATGAGATCTCATTCTGCTCTTCAGCACCGACATTTCAAGGAGTTTCTTTTTGAATGTGATTCAGCGTATTCTGACTAACTGCAACACAACAATGTTCGTTGGCTAAGTAAAGGTCAAGTTATTGAACGTTTTTGGCTAATAAAAGAACAAGTAACCTCCTTCTTGCAAAACTTAGATACGCAGGGAGCTAAGAAGCACCTTGAGTTCGTAACAAATAAGCGCAATATGCTGGTTGTGGCTTTTCTGAAAGATATTTTGAAATATTTAAATGCGCTCAACGCAGAGTTACAAGGAAATGGAAAATTAATATGTGATCTGATACAAAGCGTGTCTGCTTTTCGTCGTAAGCTGAATAGCTCTTTAAAAAAGATATTGCAAGACAAGAATTTGTTCATTTTCCGACAATTTTGGAATATAAAAAGGAGAACTCTGAAGAAGACATTGCAGTGTTTACAACATTTTTGGCCGATCTTAGGAACGAATTTGCCACAAGATTCCAAGACTTTGCAGAGATGGGCAAGCTGTCTCTGTTTCTTAAGTCACCCTTTGAAGTTGATGTAGCAGCAGAATGGACAGATGTGGCTGCCAAGTTGTTTAATCTGTCAAAGCCATCACTTCAAATGGAAATAATCGATCTGCAAGAAGATGTGTCTTTGCAAATATATAAAACTGTGTCAACTGAAGAATTTTGGGTCAAACGTGTCCCAGTAAAATATGAAAATTACAAAAAAATTGCTATCAATTTCGCCACTATGTTTGGTTCGACAGACGTATGCGAAACATCTTTTTCAAAGATGAATTTTTTGAAAAACAAATATCGTTCGAGATTAACGGACGCTCACTTAGAAGACAATCTTCGAATTTGCTGTTCTTCTCGAGAACCAAACTATAAAAACCTAGCTCAAGACCGTCGATGCAATTTTTCACATTAATTCTACAATTTTATAATTCAGAATTTTACTCCTACAATAAATAGCTGCCTAACACTTAATTATTATCAGTTGTTTTTTTCTGGACCTTGTAAAAATTTTCAAGGTTTATCCGAACCCTATCTAAAACTACTTGCCGACCCCTGCTCTAAACCTTCTCAGCAAATTTGGCCGGTTATTGCAAAATAACATAAATAATAATATAAATGTAATATTTATTATATTCTATGTGATACCACTACTACTTTTTATAAAGATAGAAAAATATTCTTGGAGGAACCAGGGAGGAATTTGTCACATAGTTTTACATAGAATAAACATACAGTCTACCTGATGGTAAGTGGATTCTGCGGCCCATTGACATTTACACCTATTTCTCGATTGGATCCCGCCACTCACTGCGCTGGTATTTTGTGGAATAATGGTCCTTCCCGGGTCGAGCTGACATGATACAGCCGCAAAGTGGCTCTGCCACGTATGCTATTTATAATGACAATGTAAATGAATGAAATAAGTAAAATGCACCGTCAACCACAAACATCAAATAGTTTCGATCGCCTTATAAGAAACAAGGGAGCCGAAGAAAGCATCTCTTGGCTTCACCCCTCCTTCACGCACACAAACACATTTGTTTGTGTTTTAAAAATACTTAACGCATACATATACACATAGGCGCAGCTATCAATAGATTCATTAGACGCATTTCTTTGATACAGCCCCGTGCTTTTAGCGAACTAGCAGCCAAGCTGCATTTGCTGCTATTAAAAATGATTAGCATGCGACTTTGAACTCAATATGGAAAGAAAAATGATTTTTTCAAAGTGGAAAAAGTGTACATTTAATCTTGCGTAGAAGTAATTGCGTCTTTGCTTCGTGCTTTTTTTTCTTTCCCTTTTTCGAGAGGGCTCTAAATGGAAGCGGCCCTTCGACGAAAATCTCCGTTTGATGTGTCTTGCAAGATGTACTCGTAGTTATTTATTTTTATACAAAAAATAATAATCGCCCCTCGCTTAACGGGTACGGGTTACTAGATTTTGCTCAATAAACTCCTCTGAAATTCGTTTTTTATTACGTTTTCTAGAACATACGAATGGTACTATAATTAATCGATTATTTGATATATAAGAAGTAATATTTCATAACTTCTTGACCAGCTTAACATTTAATTTTGGCATTGAATTTCACAATAAAATCACATTGATTAAAACTACTTTGAGTGATATTACCGCGTTTAATTTATTTGATTTTTAATTCCAGATTTCCATAATCGGCTCTTTCGTATGTTCTTTGTAAATTTGTTTTTAGTGTACAATAAAGTATGTTCATTCATTCATTCATAGTCAGTATAATTACATTACTATGGCTGTGATGCATTCCCTCTTAGGTTATGCATACCTCAAAAGTGACAGCTCATATATAGCCTTCTTTATTCGAGGTAGGCTGTAAGTTCGTTTGTCACATCAGTTTTATTAAAAAAAAATATTCGCAAATCAAATATTTAAAAAAATAAGAGAGAAAAGTTATATATAGCCTGCCATGATGCACGTTGACGTCTTTTCCTGTTGTTCAGTGCTGCGCTCGATATACACCTACCACAAAATCAAAATACTGACGGGTTATCATTTATCAGTATCACTTAAAGCACTAAGTTGTATTGATAGTTGCCTCGTTACCAGTTAAAAACATTTTATTTCTAAGTTATATTTTTTGTGAGCGTGGTACTTCCAAGGCCGAGCCGACTCGTTTGTGGTACAGCATACTGCATCACGACTACATTTATTTATTATAGCTTTATTTGCTCACCAAGCACAAAAAGGCGGAATTAATGCAACAAGGCATTCTCTATCAGTCTACCTCTAGGCTAAGCAGAGAAGATATTGTGGGTGCAAAGTGGAACTGAGTTAAAATATCTATGAGTAGTCATAGACATTACATATTGCGATACATGTTATAAACATAATTACATATATATATATATATATATATATATATATATATTTTCAATATACATAAATATATACATATGTTTGCCTTAATACTGCCTGTGTACATATGCATACATAGTATGTACATAATTAAATATAGCTGTTTCTGATTCAAACACCTATGAAATATTTGAAATAAAAACAGAAAAGGTGACATTTAGAAATTAAGAATATAAAAAAATGTTAATCCAGAAACTACTCCTGCAACGCCAGAAAATGATTCCAGAGTAAGCGTTTGAACGATGCCTTGCTCGTGGCTGCACGTACACTGCTCGGTAGCTCGTTCCACAATCTTACTGCATGAGAAGTAAAACATCTATACAAGAAGCTAGTGTGACAGTGATTATGGGCATCACCCTGATACTGAAATTTTCATTTCAGATATTCAGGGACAAACGGCTCGTGTAATTACATTCAATTATCACATCCAACAAATATGAGCAAACTATAATCTTTGTATATCTAATATATAAAAATTAATGTTTGTTTGTCCGTACTTTATGCGCTGCCACACCGTTCATCTGATCGAGGTAAATACTTTGTCAACTTATTGTTTACACTTGCGCGAAGGTTATACACGTAATACAATTAACTTACAGTAGGTTGCGCGCATATCGTTTGAAAGTCGTAATATCATTTAATTTCAATGAACGCATTATCATTCTTAATTAAACAATATAACTCTTCCAAATTAGAAACGATATTTCTATAATTCGATATTTAAATTTTTATAATTTGTATACACCGGGTACCATCTAGTATATCTATAAGTATAATTGGTGTATAAATCATAAATACATAAAACACAAAGGGTGAAAGCCATAACTGATCGATTCCGTTATTAGAATTTGACTAACGGTCGTAAGCCGCGGAATTTGAGGGTACCCTACCACTACTATAATCTATTCATACAAAATAAATCAAAGTGATTCCGACTCATGCGAAAAGCGCAGACCAAAGACTCACGAAGGAACTCCCGCATATTATAAATCAATACGAAATGGTTATAACTTAATAAACGAATTCATTCATATTATGTTTATTGCCACAAGATAATTAAATACAATTTTAAAAAAGTAAATACTAAAAGTATCTTATAGTGCTATTGTCCGCCATATAGTGTCAAAAACGGCATCAGCGTTTTCTCGCTGGACATTAGCTAAGTTAGCCTTTTGAGCGAATGAAAACACTCTTTAAAGCTTTTATAAATACAAGTAGGTAAAAACAGAATCCAGAAGTTGAAGATTTTTTTTGAAATAAATGTAGTTTACATACGTTCATATACGTGGTAGAGCCATGCCGCAGCTATATTATGGTTGTAGTATAAATGAGTCGGCTCAAACGAAGAAGGACCATGCTCTCACAGAATACCAGCGTAAAATAGCAGTGCAATGCTGCTGTGTTTCGTATGGTCAGTGTAGAGAACCGGGGACCCTTTTTACTGGATACGAGGCATTCGATCTTAGTCCTTAAGGCTGGCAACGCATCTGCGTTTTAATGCTTAATCGAGGATAGATGTAGATGTCTATGGGCCACAGCATCCTTTTACGAGTACCATCAGGTGGACTGTGTGCTCGGTTGTCTCCCACATTAAAAAAAACACCCACATTGTATAAAAAAAAGTTTTAGGTTTTAAATAGCTTTGTAACTGTGGGGTGTTTTCTGGAATTTTTTTGTTGGTGGGCCCTCCGGGGGTTTTTGGGTTAAAGCAAAACCACTTTATAGGGTTCCACTGTTTTACAGGAGTAGTTTTGTTTTGTTCGCTGTCCTATTGTGTTGCAGCATCATAACTCGAGTATTAGACCGA